ATTGACAATTCTCTTTCTTTATCCTCGTCTCAAAAGTGTGTGTGTGTGTTCCCGGTTGATGAAAATTCTCTCCCAAATTCAATAAGTATGTGTCATCCTTAGAAGCTGCTTTCTTTTGAAAACCAAGAAGGCAACAACGCAAATCTGCAACATTGCTGCAAACCCAGCGAATACAAGACCCACTGTTTTCCCTGTGTTTAATCCACTTTTCTCTGACTGTTTGAAGACCCGAGAAGGAGGAGGAGGAGGAGGAGATGGGGGACGTAACCGTCTTGGTGGTTGGTTTCTATTAGAATGCGGAGGAGACGCTTGCGCACGCGGAGGAGGATGAGGGTGTTTTGAAATCGGCGGCGGTGGTGGTGGTGGAGGAGGAGGAGGCGGAGGTGATGGTAATGGTGGCGGTGGAGAAGTAGGTGGAATCATAATGTTAACGGTTTCTTGCGACGGAGGAGGAGGCGTGTTGACTTGAGGCGGAGTCAGAGGAGGAGGTTGAGATTGCACAAACGGAGAGAGCGGAGGAGGTGGTGATTGTAATAGGGGTTGCCGTTGATCTTGTTGTGATTGGACAAGAAGGAAGCCATGAAAGCTGAGAATCATGCCGAGAAATAAAACAAAACCCATTAATCACCAGATTGACTCGATCCAGATAACAAGACAGCGTCTTCCTTTATCTTCGTCAGCACATAGTGGAATTCGATTCCGGTCAACGAAGATATCCAGTGAGGAAGGAGACAAATCTGAGGAAATAGGTCTCCGTTCTTCTTCCTCGATTATCGAAACCAGAGAATGATGGAGTCGGGAAGAAGCAAGAATCAAGGAATCACGAATCTGACAACTAAATGTATCTAAGGATTTCCCCCAAATTGACGAATCCAATTCGGAGAGAATTTCCGGAGACGAAGAGAGAAAAAAAGTCGATTAAGAAGAACAATTGACTATACAAAGCGGAAATGGTAAAATTTTCCGGGAAAATGCGAAGAGAGAGAGAAGGGTAACGGTTTCGGGCTAAATCTGGGGGAAAGAGAGATTAAGGACAAGTTTTGGGAAAACGTAGATTTCGATTTCGATTTCGATTTTACAATCTGTAATCTGTAATAATAATAACTCCCTTTTTTTTTTTTTTTGGTTTCTTATTATTAAGGGAGAAGACGAAGAAGAGAAAAATAGTTGAATGTTCCGTTTTGAAAGAAAACTCACGGATCCAATGTCCAACGTGGCGTGGCATCATCCAACATCTATCCCATCTCCTTTGACTATACTCACTTAATGGGCCTAAGCCCATTTAATTTACGTTCATAGCCCATTTTGCAAAAAAAAGAAAAGAATGGAGACCCATTCCTAAGGATGTACATACATACAACAAGTTTCTTCTACAATTGAATTCTCCTAGCAAAGTCAAGTAGTAGCAGCTTGTCTCATCTTAGCATAAGATGCAACATGATACTCGGATTGTTGGCTTTTAACCCCATGCCATGGAACAAGCATAGTTAACCACCAGTTTACCATCAAACCCAAAGTTCTGCAATTATCAAGAACACAAGCACAATCTTAAGAAATGCAAAGAGGACAAGCCCCGGTAATAGGAAATACCAAAAATATTATCAACCTTAAAGATCAAACAAACCCATGAATGATTGAAGACAAACAGATGGAAGATGTATAACTACTTTCAGGAGCATATTGAAAATGAAATTACTTACATTGTATAGATCAATTACTGACTCATCGGGGTTAGGCGAGAAAGCGCTGTTTACATAAACAAACTTACACAGTGAAGAGATATCAGCACACTTGCAACAAAAACAATGTTTCACAAGAGATAGATAACACAGATAAATGATTTACCAATGAGTCAGAGTGAAGCTGCCGTCTTAGAAAATCAATCACTTTAGCAAATTTTTCAGTCCCTGCAATCTGAAGACACCAAAGCAGAGCACATATATCAAAGAAAGAAAGATCAAAACTATAATGATAAAGCTAATAATTATGATGCTGAAGCATAATCTGATGGATATTGAATCTAATGGTTAAAAAACACAGCAACAAAATTCATCAACTCAGATCCTTAACAGAAGAGATAATTACATTATCGAAAATTCCAAAATGGTCTAGGTCCTAAATAGTACCCTAATTTCGCGAAAGGAATGAATCATTGATTACAAAAGAAGCTATACCTTGAATTTAGATTGTTTCAAGATTGAAGCACCACCAGTAGCTCTTAGATGAACAACAACTGTTACGAATTTTAAGAAAAAACGAAACCATAGAGATACGATCAAAATTAGAACCGTAAAAGAGAAATCATCAAAAAATCTCATCAGATTTGAAACCATCTCTACTCAAATAACAGGTTGATCGAGTTCATCAATGACTCACTTTTCCGAACAGAATTCGGAGATTCCGTCGCCATTGTTGGGACTTTGGTTTGACCAGAGAGAAGTGACAACGATTTCGAGCAAGTTAAAGATTTGTTTGGATACATAATAGGCCCAAATTATGTAAAGCCCAATATAGTTAAATCCGGCCCTGTTCGATTTTTAAAAGGCTTATATCTCAAAGGTAGTTTTGTTTTTGTTTTGGATCTTGAAAGGTGAAAGCTCATCTCAGTGAATTGACGAAAACGGAGATACAAAAAAGATCATAAAATGGTAGGATCGGTAACTTATAAAAATATATGAAAAACTTTTTAATTTATGTTACCAAATAGATCATAATTAAAATGGTGAATTAGATGAGATTTTAGAAAAGTGATTATATATAAAATCACATGTTTATCCTATTATTATATATATATTAGTCATCTGTTGGTTAACAATCAAAACCGTACTGTTGTATTTCTTTAGATATTACATGATGAGAGGGACTTTAGATATATAGAAAACAAGACGATGACATTGACCCATTTGAGATAGATCAATCGTTATCGTTATAAAGTAATGTCGAATAATTATGATATAAGTATATAGGGATGGTCCAAAAGATGGATAGAAGACAAGCTCGTGCATTAGGCATCATGCATGGGCACTGGGTATTTAATGATTTGGAGTTAGGTTTATGACGAATCCAAAGGCAATAGTAATGTGTTGATCTTCTCTACAGTCATTTTCATTGTATCCTTTTTTATAAACTTGTGGCAGTTGGAAAAAGATAATCAAATATTAATGTGTATTTCTTCCTTTTATTTGTTTTTTGGTGAAACAACAATTGCAGATCATATATATATATATATATATATATATATATATTACAAGTTAATCTGTCTTTTAACAAAATTATAACCAACAATTCACGCAAATTATAATACCTTATAATAAAGAATAATGACGATGAACCTCACTAAGAAAATGAATTGAAGCAATGCGTATGTCAAATTGCCAATATGCCATGTCAAATAGTGAAAGTTATACGCTGATCTTCTTATACGTACGTCACCATTTCATCGAGGTTCAGACAAAAATATGCAACCACGACCATAATCAATTCTTGGAATCAAACAAAAACATTCTTCTTTTTCAGAAAAATTGGGTTTGGCTTCCAACATTATCTTCTTTCCTTCTAGTGTCTTGTGTATTGACCAATAAACAGATAGAATCGTCCAGCAAATTGATGATCATTATACTTATGAGAGAATCAGCTAAAAAAACAATCAGTTTCTTATTTAAAACGATATAGTATGTATTTTTGTTGGCATCGTAACTTTTGAAAACAAAATAAAGAAGCACAGTGTTTGCTACTTTATATCTGGTCCAGTGTGTGGGATCTACAAAATTTTGATGTGGAGTGGGAAGATTTTTTCATAGGGATCAGAAAAAAAACGAAGAGTTAACACGTGTGCACGTGGGAGAGTTACGACACATAAGTGGCCACCCCCGTCACGTGCGGGCTACATTTATATCCACTCGTTTCTTCCCTTGGTCCGACTTCATTGGTCCATCTTTATTCGTCTCTTTCCCTTCTCTAAACATTTTCCCAATTACTCGTCTTCTCAAATTTAAGTATTTAACATTTGCATCTAACTTGTCTTTTAGCCTATACTACATGTGGATTGCTACATATATATAGAGCATCGCTAAATAAATATACATTCGTAAACAGACACTTGATTAATGTTGAATTCGACGCATATTTATTAGAACTAGTTGTTGACACATGCACACTCAAGAAAGCTTATAATAGTGTTGAGACTTGAGAGTGACCCACCATTTGCACCATATGTACCGTTTTACGACGACGTGTACACGTCCGTGCACACTCACAAATAGAGATTGAGAGTACTATCGAATTAAATATACATAGTGGATTGAGCTAGTGTGTGTGTGTCTTAGCTTGTGTGATTTGAAATGGTGTAAGCCCTAGCTAGCTACTTAATATATATATAGAAATAGCTGGTAATGCATGCGAATGACGAGTTGTGCATGGTTGATATGGGACATTGTATGCCCCTTAATTATTCCTTATCTTTATAACTAGTGCCTGCGTTTGGAGTGTGCAAGTGGAGCAATTGTACCGGATCTAATTTTTTTGAGTAAATTTAAAGGCCCAAATTTTTTTTTTCGTATTAAAAAAAATGTAATTTTTAAAACTTTAAGATATCTTTATCATAAAAAAAGATATTTTATTTAGTATGAAAGTGGTTAATTTTTAAGGTTTTTTTAACATGAAAAAGGCCCAATTTTTTTTTTTTTGTATGAAAAAGAGTCAATTTTTAAAATTTGTATTGGGACTCAAAATTAATTGAGCCGGCCCTGTTTATAACATACATATCAATCTTATATGGTGTACTATATGATATGTAGCTGTCCAAAATAAATGCTTTTTATTGATTTGTTGTCTCACGACGAAACTTCTTCGTTAAATACGTGTATATACATATTCTATATAGTCGTGGTACTCTATTATTAATCATCGAGAGAAATTTCTACTGTTAAACAAGACATATACAGTTAAACCAAAAAAAAGACATATACAAAAAGTAATATGTAAGTTCACAAGTTATATGAAAGGGAAATTATAAATTTGAATTTCAAATACAAACCGCTGATAACAGGTGTTTTTATATCCTACAATTCTTTTTTTGTCAAATTCGTCTTTACCGCCATTTTGGTTTATATAAAAGAGTAATTGATCACTTGTTTAAAAATTGATTAGATTTTATTGTTGTAATCAAACTTTTGAAATTAATTGGCTAAATCAGCACGTTACTCTCATGATTATATTTTCACTTTCATAACTCCCCCACTTCACCCACCACGAATGGGGACAAATCCACATATATTAATTATACTTACCGACGTAAGTATCCGTTTATACACTAACTTTTTCTTTAGTTAGATTGTCATCAATAAGTTGCATATCTTAATTGATTCTTTGATATTTCATAAGATATATACACTACGGAAATATCATCAGTTGAGTTCTTTGTTTAGCTTTGTTTTTGACAGCATTGAAGTATATATGATACATTTATTTACTTTTTTCTTATTGAAGCTATTAAAGGATTGATTCTCGATTATGCGGGAACTGCAAGCTACAAATTAAATAATAAAATTACCGTTTTAATAAAGTGATCTCTTAAACAAACGAAAAGAAAATAAAAGTGGGAAGTTGGGTTACTAGAGTATGCGATCTTTCCTTTGTATCGGATACTTTTGACCATATAGCCATATTAGCCTTTTTTTTTAGTTTGTACAGACAATAATCTAATTGTGTGATGCTTTACTTATTATATAAATACACATATTTCAAGCTAAGTAGCATGTTTGTGTTAGCTTTAATAGCTTATCATAACGCTATGATTCGGTGGTCCAATTTGTTACTTTGAACCAAATTTAATTTTGGTCATGTAAGCTTATGCAAATAAATTTCCTAAAAAATGAATATATTAATATGATTTTACAACGTTAGATGTGTCATGTGTGGATTCTTTATCTTTCTATCAGTGCAATCAAATCGAAGGTTGACATGACAAGCTGACATAATGTACGTAAAACATTAATAACACATGCTTAGCTTCCTTATTTTAATATAGTGTTTTGAACCGAAACTTTTTACCATTCAAGCATCTATTTGCTTGTCGTGTTGACATTATTAAGAAAGAGTTAATCACAGAGCACACACGTTTAAGCAACATCTCAAAAAAATAATTTTGATCAATTTAACAGAATCGTGACAATAGATATATCAAAGACGACTATACTGATGTATAACGTCCATCATCTTGTGGTTTAATATCATCGCGGTGATAGGTCAGTGAAAGGAATGTGTGTAGCTAGAAGAAACAGACGAGACTTATGCATAATCCAACATTATAATTTTAAGCCATGCTTAAAACAAGACAAGCCAATCGAATCACGTTCAGGCAAAAGAAAAGAAGAAGTACTCGAAAAGAATCAAATATTGGATACTATTGTCCATGACATTTGAGACCATGTCTCTTTCACTTTTTTCCCCATCTTATTGATCATTATTAGTAGCATCAAATCAAATCTTTTACTTTTAGTTAATTAATAATTTTTTGTATCTATATATCAACTCAAATCTTCTTCTTATAGTTTTAATTTTACCTAAAAAACAGAGTAAGAAACAAAGAAAAGGCGACGACTCTTTGCTGTTATAGTTGACGACAGAGAATATAAAACGTGGCTCTCTTTTTTTTACTGTCACTTCTATGATTCTTAAACTCGCTAATTAAGCTGCTTGGTTATGAACTTATCACCTATGACCAAAATATATCAAGTTTAGATGATTAATTAAAACAGATATTTTTATACACAACTTACTTAACAAAGGAGAACAAAAAAAACCGTTTATAGGAAGCGGTAAAACATTGTAATTAATAACAACAAAAAAAAAACCAAGGGGAAAAAAAGATCGAATGATCTAAAAACTAATCACCCCCAACCATTAATTATATAGTACTAAAATAATAATAATTATACAATTAAACCAGTAGCAATGACTCGATTCATATTATCCAGACGAGTGGTTTCGTAAACCGGAAGCTCTTCTCTATACCTATCGATCCCAATCGCCGAAAGATTCTCCAACTCGAATAGATCAGAGCTTGCACAACTCGCAGCATCGTCTTCATCATCTTCTTCTACGTTGGTGATGTTCGTCGTCGTTGTAACCTTGTTCTTATTATGGTAAGTTCTAAGAAGATCTTTGGCTGCTTCGATAACACGGCGATGCTCTTCTATAACGTCGCGTTTAGCTTCGTTGCTACCGTAGAGACTGTTGTTGTTATAAGCGTAAGGCATGTGAATGGAGGAATCTTCGTCGAGGATGACATTTACTGGACAGAACCGTACGGATCTTTTTGATTTGCCGCTAGACGATGGAGTTTTGCTCAAGCAAGACCTGGAGTAGGAGGATGCGGAGGAGCATGTGGAGGAGGAGTGTGGTTCTTCAACGGTGGTTGTAGTTTTCTTGTGCTTCTTAGGGTTAGTGGCGGCTGCGTTGGTGAAAAGAGAGTTAAGGAAA